CCCCCCCCCCACCCGCCGCCGTAACGGCTGCGGCGGTGGTCTCCGATTTTTCCGGCGTCTCTCCTTCGAATCCGTCTCTGGACATGAGACCCGGTTCTTCTTTCTGTCTTCTACGCGGGTTCAGCGGATTTCCTATACAGCCAATTCCGGGGGTCAGCGAAGCGGGAATTTCGTCGAACAGTTTGTGGGTGAAGCGGAATCGGCGGAAAGGTTCGAGGAAGAGAGCGAAGTGTTCGATATTAGGAACGTGGAATCTGCTCGAAACGATTTGAGGAACGTTGCAGCTGGTTCTCTGGAGACGGAAGTGGAAGTGAAAGAGTTGGAAGACTTGCCGGAGCAATGGCGGCGGTCGAAGATAGCGTGGCTGTGTAAGGAGCTTCCGTCGCACAAAGCAGGGACGCTTATGAGGATTCTGAACGCGCAGAAGAAATGGCTTCGACAAGATGACGTGACATACATCGTCGTTCATTGCACGCGGATACGCGAGAATGAAGCCGCATTCAGGGTAATGTTTTCCGGCAAATCAATACGCTTTCTCTTTGTCGGACACTGTTCTCTTTGCTTCTGTCTTGCGGTACCTTGAAATTGAATGTTGCATTGTCATTTTATTTGGTTTGTTCATCATAATCGATGGTAATGCCGCTTGTTTTTCCAGATACTTTCTTGTGATTTGGCTAATCTATCGATATGGGGGCTTCAGTGTTGTGCATTTGATGCTGAAAGTTTCCATCTTTCAGGTTTATAGATGGATGATGCAGCAGCACTGGTACCGATTTGACTTTGCCTTGGCCACGAAGCTAGCCGATTACCTTGGGAAAGAACGGAAGTTTTCAAAATGCAGGGATATATTCGACGACATAATCAATCAAGGTCGTGTCCCGAGCGAATCCACATTTCATATTCTGGTCGTTGCTTATCTAAGTTCCCCAATTCAGGGTTGCCTCGAAGAGGCATGCGGTATTTACAACCGAATGATTCAGCTTGGAGGTTACCAACCACGACTTAGTCTGCAAAATTCGTTATTCAGAGCTCTTGTCGATAAACAGGAACGGCCTTCAAAAGATCACCTTAAGCAAGCTGAGTTTGTCTTCCACAACATTGTGATGACGGGTCTTGAGGTACAGAAGGATATCTTTAGCGGCCTAATTTGGCTACATAGTTGCCAAGAGACAGTTGACATAGCCAGGATAAATTCTCTAAGAGAAGAGATGAGGAAGGTGGGTTTTCAGGAGGGTAAAGAAGTTCTCGTGTCTATACTGAGAGCTTACGCACAGGAAGGAGATGTGGAAGAGGTTGAAAGAATGTGGTTGCAGTTGCTCAGCCTAGACAGAGGTATACCTTCTCAAGCTTTTGTGTACAAAATGGAAGTTTACTCAAAGATTGGCGATTTTACAAGATCTTTCGAAATATTCAGGGAGATGGAGAAGCATCTCGGTTCTGCCAGTCTTTCTGGGTACCACAAAATCATAGAGGTTCTCTGTAAAGCTCAGCAAGTGGAATTTGCAGAGTCTCTTTTGAAAGAGTTTATCGAAAGTGGGAAGAAGCCACTTCTACCGTCGTACATCAACATAATCTCTATGTACTTCGATTTGGGTTTGCACGAGAAGTTGGAATTGGCCTTTCTCGAGTGCACGGAGAAATGCCAACCTAACCAGACTGTTTATAACATATACCTAGCTTCGCTGGTCAAGACAGGGAACGTTGGGAAAGCAGAGGAAATTTTCAATGAGATGAAGAACAATGGGACTGTCAAAGTGAATGCTCCATTGTGCAACACCATGTTAAAGGGGTTCCTAGAATCTGAAAACTATGGAAAGGCCGAGAAGATTTACGATCTGATGTGCTTGAAGAAATATGAGGTCGAGCCACCGCTAATGGAAAAGCTTGATTACATCCTGAGCTTGGCCAGAAAAGAAGTGAAGAGACCATTGAGCCTGAAACTAAGTAAAGAACAACGCGAGATTCTGGTGGGTTTGCTGTTAGGTGGCGTGCAATTCGAATCGGACGGGGAGAGGAAGAACCACAAGATCAAGTTTGATTTCGTAGAAAACTCCAATACCCATCTGGTTCTGAGACGGCATTTACACGATCAGTACCGTGAATGGCTGCATCCATCATGTAATTGCGCCACGGATGGTACGATACCTCCCAGATTTTCGACCATTTCCCACACCTACTTTGGATTTTACGCCGACCAATTCTGGCCAAAGGGTCAACCCGAGATTCCAAAACTGATACATCGATGGCTTTCACCGTGCTCGCTTGCGTATTGGTATATGTACAGCGGTTACAGAACATCATCGGGAGATGTTCTGTTGAGACTGAAGGGAAGCGTGGACGGAGTGGAGAAGGTGGTAAAGGTGTTGAGGGCGAAATCTCTGGAGTGTCGGGTGAAGAAGAAAGGGCAAGTTTTCTGGCTCGGGTTTCTGGGAAAGAACTCGACTTGGTTCTGGAAACTAGTCGAACCTTATGTCTTGGAAGATCTGAGAGATGTTCTGAAACCGGGTTTGGAATCAAAGAGCAGTGGAGAAGATGAACAAGAAAGTGTCAACTTCGAGAGTGGATCAGATACTAATGAAGACAATTGAGAATGTCGGAGAATATCAAGAGGCATCACTGGTGAACTTTTGATAGAACTGGTTTGTGTTTATTAGCTCGGATGATGATCTCCACTCCACATGTAAACTTCATAAGTTCATGCTAATGCTGCAGTTTCAGTTGCTGGAAATAGAATATTTTTTTAAACCGGATTGAATTGTATTGAATTTAATTCGATTTTACTTTGGTTTGAATTTTTTAAAAATACCGGTACAGTCTAAACCAATAAAGCTAAAATTTCATCTCTTTCGGTCCGAATTAGAACCAGACGAAAAAAAATAACTTAACCTATATTTCATGTATGTATGTATGTATGTATGTATGTATGTATGTATGTATGTATGTATGTATGGACAATCCAGCAATACCACGTGCAGGCCGCTATTTCAGACCCATAAGGTGTTGTATTGTTCATACGTTGCCATCACACGTAATATCAAAATCACACACAATCATCTTCCATTAGTTGCCGATTACTTTTCTTACTGAATAGGAAGATATATTTTTTTTTAAAGAATTTTGTTTAGATTCTTATAGTTGTGATGTGAATAATTTGATTTGACTTGATAAAATCAATAACACTTAAATATATATTGAAAGAGGTTATTGACAGTAATGTTTAATTTTGGTGCGTCGTGAAACATTAAAAAACGATTAATATTTTATAATGTGATTAATTTATAGAGAATTTGTGTTAAATTGAAAATAATTTAGGTACGGAAACGGATTCTAAAAATATATGAAAGTGTCCAAAAGAGACAAAAACATCAAATAGTGGTTGCCCCCTCTATTGGACTGACTTATGTGTCATTGTTTGTTGTGGCCCTTAGAAAACAAATCAATATTGCTTAAGAGACTAATACCTATCAACATATTTAAAAAATACTATATTATTTTATTCATGTCTACAACACAAAATTAATCAAAACGAAAATAACTAATTGAGTAAATGTATTTATTTAAACATTTTAACGAGGAAAAAATTAAAGAAAATATTCATATTAATTTGTTCCACCATAACAAAGCACGAGAAAATTAAAAATGAAATTGAAAGTTTAAATTATTTTTAACAAGTGGGGTTTGTATTTATTTACCAAAAAAAAAAAGTGGGGTTTGTATTTATGTGCTAAAAATTAAAAAAAATGAAATTATTTTTTCCGCGGGAAAAAAGAAATTAACACAAAAGGAATTGAATTAATTAGATCATGGAGAAGAAAGTGGGACCTAGGGTTTCTCACTCCTCCCTCGTGCCATCCCTGTGTGTTTGTTTAGTGCGCCATAGGAGAAGACTCTAGAGAAGGAGCAGAGAGAGGGAGTGCGTTATTGTCTCTCCGACTTCTCTCTCTATATACACATTCGTGCGCATTTGCTTATATATATATATATAGATAGAGAGAGAGAGAGAGAGTTGAGAAAGTCACACCGAGAGAGAGTATGGGTAGGCCAAGGTGCTTCGTAGACATCGCCATTGGAGGCGAGCTTGAAGGTAGAATAGTGGTGGAGCTTTACAACGACGTCGTTCCAAAGACCGCCGAGAATTTCAGAGCCCTTTGCACCGGCGAGAAGGGCATTGGCCCCAATACGGGCGTCCCTCTCCACTACAAGGTCTCTCTCTCTCTCTCTCTCATATCCATCAATGTACACACACATGTATCTGATTTGGTTGCATTGCATCGAATGAAGAAATGGTTTTCTGATTCCCCTGTGATTTAGGGTTTGTGTGATTTGATTGGTTGATAATATTTGGTTAAGTTTCTCAGAATCTTAGTTGTTAGTCTCTGTTTTAGTTCGACCTTTTCGATATAATCGAAGATAGAACTTATCATTTATAGGATCAGCGCATTTATTGCAGGGGAACCGATTCCATCGTGTTATCAAGGGATTTATGGTTCAAGGTGGAGATATATCGGCACAGGATGGTACCGGAGGCGAATCTATCTACGGGTTGAAGTTCGAAGACGAGAACTTTGAACTGAAACATGAGAGGAAGGGGATGCTCTCTATGGCCAATGCTGGCCCCAACACGAACGGGTCTCAGTTTTTCATTACAACGACTCGTACTTCTCATCTAGATGGGAAACATGTTGTGTTTGGAAGGGTAATCAAAGGAATGGGAGTTGTTCGTGCAATGGAACATGTTATTACCGATGAGAGGGACTGCCCGGCTCAGGATGTCGTAATCCAAGACTGTGGGGAAATTCCCGAGGGCGCGGATGATGGGATATCAAACTTTTTCAACGACAGTGACATGTACCCTGATTGGCCTGCCGATCTCCACGAATGTCCGGCAGAGTTATCATGGTGGATGGAGGCTGTAGATTCTGTCAAGGCACGAGGAAATGAACATTTCAAGGTATAGCTCATCACGTTTTCTTAATCGATTATTCTCTTCCTTTTGTCTTCTGACTTCTCTGTCTGTCGTCTCCTGTCCGTTTCCACGCAACATTTTCTTCAGAAACAAGACTATAAGATGGCTCTTAGAAAGTACCGCAAGGCTTTGCGGTATCTGGATATTTGCTGGGAGAAAGATGGGATCGATGAAGGTCGTCAAATCATATATCTTTTCTCATATGTTTTTGTTTTTCAGTAGCTCAAGCTTAACGAATACTCATACAGTCAATACTATTTTCTGTGCTCACTCTTTCATCATCCGGCCTTACAGAGACAAGTACTGCGTTGCGGAAGACAAAGTCGCAGATCTTCACGAATAGCGCTGTAAGTTCGCGTCCTTTGTCTTCTGGTGCGAGTTATACGCAAATGTGTGCTTTGTTCAAATTTTTCTTTACACCCTTAGACTTTTTTGCTGCATCGTGTGTTTGTTTCGGTATATTCCTCCCACATGGCTGGGGCTGATGGATGATGGTCTCAAATTGTTTACGAGAACTTAATAAAAGAAATCTCGTCTGTCTATCGCCTTCTATAACGTTGATCCAAAAAAAATCACCGTGGTAGCGATTTGTTTAGTCGTTTTTAACCGACTGATTAATCCGCGATACTGTTGTTTATGTGGGAGGGCAGGCATGTAAGATCAAACTTGGTGACCCGAAAGGGGCATTATTGGACACGGACTTTGCAATGCGGGATGGAGATAACAACGTCAAAGCCTTGTTTCGTCAAGGACAGGTACTTTTAAAAGCCCCTTTTTTCCGTCGTTAAACAAGAGTAACTTATAATTCTTTGGTCATCTTAAGGCATATACTGCTCTCCATGAAGTCGATGCTGCGGCCGAGAGCTTCAAGAAAGCTCTTCAGTTGGAGCCAAACGACGGTCAGCGAATACCTTGTTTTGGTCATATTGTAATATCGTCGAAGACTCGGGTGTAATATAAACATGGTACTTTGGGTTTTGCTTTTCAGCTGGAATAAAGAAAGAGTATGCTGCTGCTATGAAGAAGGTAAGAGCACACGGATCGAGTTGTGTTTAAACCCTAAGCCCCCGGGTTTTACGTTAAAACGTTTAACTTTGTGCAGATTGCTGATAGACACAACGAGGAGAAAAGGCGGTACCGCAAAATGTTCCAATAAAACACCAAGACTGGTATGTCATTACCAGACTTTATCAACCAAAACCTATTTTGTTTTCAAGGTTTCGGGTAACTGTTTTGTGTTCGGTCTCTGCAGGCTGAGAATACACTCTAACAAAGATGATGAGAAGCTTAGAAGGAAAAGTTCAACCTTCAAGAACCATAACCATTTTTCGTGTTTCGTTTTCTGATTACATGTTTCTCCCGCTGGAACTGAAAAACGATACACACAAAGTTATAGACCGAAATGTCGGTTACCTAAGGCGAGCTGGTTGAATCCTTCTGTTTACGTTTCCGCTCTTAGAAACGTTTCAATCCGATAGAAAGATTTGACAGACCGTCCGTGTCGAAGTTTCGTCCGATGTCATGGCAACAAAGAGAAGGCCAAAAATTTAGGCATTGTAGTTGTCGACTCCAAGATCTCTCAACGCATCAGTAGCCGAGTCTCTGCATATTTCATGATTGGCTTTGGCCGTTCTTATAAGCTTCTCGACCCCGTTTCCTAGCAGAAGAGTTCTGTCGCAATAACAACGCAATCATCAGTGATTGAATTCGTTACGATTATCTAATCTCGATAACGGACGGACTTGAGACGCGGAGAGAAAACGAGGAAGCGAGAGAGAGAGAGACCGGTTCTCAGCATTTCGCACGGCAAGGTTGCGGATCATGTTGCAGGAGCTTCGCTGCATTTGGGCAGCACTCGGAAACTTTTTCATTGCCTGGATGGCTAAATCACCTGCTCCTGCTTCTACAGCACGTGCTGCATTACCTGGTGACCGAAGACAGAGCACAGCTACTATCGCCATAACCTAACACCAACGATAAAAGCAGTGAACCATCATAACGCAGAAAACATTCATTCGTTCTCCTCCTGCGAGGAACCATCGTTCCAAACCAGATGGGTAGAATCTATAATCAAAACCCATTTGCTAACGAACGAGAAATGACACTCCAGTGGATTTCTGAACAAACTAGGTCTAAGTGAATTTCCTAGACGGGGAAAATCATGGCACCACACCATATGAAGTTTTTGCATGGAATGCAACATAACATTCTCCAAGACTATAGGGGCTTTTTACCTCTTGTATGACTAAAGGGTCATCAGAGAACTGCTGTGCGAGTTTTATCAGTCTATCCAGTCCTTGCTTCTCAACTATAGCGTTCTTGTTCGCATCACTGCCTGCCAACTAGATAATAACGATCCATATAAGACACAAGTTCTCAGTCAGATCCAGAATACTAAATTACAGCCATAAAATTCAAGGAATACATGTATCGATCAACTCACACTTTGAAGGAATCACAAACTAGACTAAACCCACTAACATGGTTACGAATAAGAAATATTTGTAGGAAATAGAAAGCAGGATGAAGGGCAGTATTTGAGGGAAAGAAGAATCATGCCAATGAATAAATGAAAGCGCTGAACAAAGACCAGGGAAGTATTCACGACACTTGGAGATCTTGGAGATCGTAGACCTTAGATAGCAGGGAACAGCATGTCCTGGCAGCTGTTTTGTTGCCTTGCTCATGACTATCATCGATGCATTTGAGAAGTGTGTCTACGCCACCACTTTCTGCAATAGATTTACATATCTCATCCTGTTGGCAAGAAAGGAATCATAAATGAGGAATCTCTAAATGAAAGGCACTGCTGCAAAGACATTACAAGAAAACGAAAGAGAAAAGAAAGGAGAAGACAAGAATGATGGGAATTTTGCAAACATCTCAGATTCATTGCGGTTGGACTTGCGGAAATTGAAATACTTATTCTATTTCGACTAGCATCCTGTCGGGTTCCAAGGGCCTTACATTTACAGCAATTGCCTTCAACGCAATACTAGCCGAGACCAAACTGTCAGAACCAACCCCTGCCTGCAATGCCTCGGTGAGTGCCCTCGCAATCCCTAGTTTCGCAAATGTCCTCGCATAGCCATAAACCTGAAAGCATTAATGTATGAGAAACAATCTGACTAATGTCCTAAAATCAATACTGAAAATTGAAGCCTTTTTAAAAAAAATACAAATCCCCCCTGCAATCACCAAATGATTTTGTGAACATGAACTAGTTCTACAGGTCCAAGATGCTTTTATCTATTATTTTCACAAGTCAACATAGGCATGTTAACCAACTCAATAATCCTGCTTACTTGGGAAGCAACAACACGGTTGTCATCTGGTGTTAAAAGAACCCGTATAGCATCGTACATTCCTCTGATGGTGCTTTTACTCTGCTTGTTCAGCACTTGCAAAATCAGTTCATCAATTTTCAATTCCATGAATGACTCCTTGACAACTTCGTTACCGGTAGCTGCAGCAGCAACAACTGCAAACCCAGCATCTAATGCATCGGAGTCTGTGTTGGAATCACTCAACAGATCGATCACAATTCTCGGTCCACTGGAATTTCGGAATGCCTCTGTGCTCTGAATATCTGCAATTCAATGATACATGAGAATGACACACAATAACGGTGATGGATGTGACCATTGTGCGCCCTTAAAGATCAAAAGTAGACGCAAATTTTACTATGATTTTAGTACAAACAGACAAATCACATTCCATACCCACTAATGGCTCATGTATGAATGAAGATTAAATGCTACAAAAACTCAATATTCTACACAGCACAATGCGAACCAGAAAAATGAAATCCATATTTCGGAACATAGTGAAGAATTCATACCACGTATCAAGACAGCCATTGCTTTCAAACAAGGAACAAGAACAGGCACACTTCCCGCGCCTGTCCGGATTTTCGAAGAAACCGAGCAAACCAACTCCACAGCACCATTTTTCGTCGCAATCGCCACATTTCCTGACTCTGGACCGCTACATAGCTCAGTGAGCTTTTCCAGCAAACCCGATATCTCATCCAAATCCTCATCTCGAAGCCGATCTCCAGAAACAGAAACAAGTTGCTTCAACCTGTCCAGACACGACATCACCGGGTTGTCCCCCACGGTACTTTCTCCGGGAACACAAGTAATGATCCCTGTAACACAGTAACACAATCGGATTCAAGCAAAATGCGAGAAATATCACCGGATCTCATGTTTCGAAGCACATCAGCACACCGTGAAATCCGTTCTCGTGCAGTCCAATGCAGGACAATCAAATTCAAAACGCGAACATAAATTATCAGGAAAACACAGACGAACCAGAGAGATCGACGCCTTGTAGTTTGAAGGTTTGGATAGCGTCTTCAAGAGCCTCGGAGGGTTCCATGCCAAGATCCTCCATGTTTTCTCTCACGAGGTCGTCGAAGGCCTCCTGAGAAATCATGCGAACACCCATTATCCTCGCTCCGATCGTCGGAGAACGCTCTCGTGGCTTGAATCGGACGAAGGTGGTTTTGAGTTTTGCGTATGCTGCGAGTGGGGGAGGAGAAAATCAGGAGATACAGTCCGATCCGATTTTTGAAACGGGACAGTAATTAGGGGCCGATACGACGTCGTAACGATGAACTCGAAATTCTTTTAGTTTTCAGAAAATAAACTAAAATTTGCAAAACAAAAAAAAAAAAAAAAAAAAAAAAAGAATAACCAATTTGTCCCGGTCAAAATCAATAATCAAAATTCAGATAGTGAAATTAAGGTTGTATATTTTTTATTTTAAAAGAAATTGAAAACCGAATTAGACATTTTTCCTTAAGTAAAAATAATGGAGGGAACGACACCGTTTGCTCCAGGAAAACGTCGTCGTTTTCGCTATTAAAAAAAAAACACGCAACACATATCGTCCGTACAACTATACACTACTCTCTTCGTTGGTCTTTTCTTTGAACTCCCAAACTGTGCAAAGTCCTGTGGACAGACATTAAGGATTAAATCACACATCCCTTTGATCTCATTCATTGATGTTCGAGTTCGGCGGCCGCGGCTAGATTCCTCACCCGCCGAGCCATTCGCCGCCTCTGGAATATCCCGACCAGTCGTAGGGTTATCACCAAGGCAACAGCACCATAGTCGAACACCCTCATGATTCCTAGGCTCCCTGTTCGAGATGGAACACGACAATGATCATGGTTTCGTAGTTTTAGCACCTGATCTCGAGCTTGAACCCCACGATTTGCAAGCGTAAATCAACTTGTCGTCGCAAGAGACAGTACCCGGGAAGTGAGTGGGGACTTACCCGTTGGAATGAAGTCGAACTCGGTGGCAGTGTAGAGGATACTCATAAACAACTGCAAGATAGATGGTAATTTAGGGTTAATTCGGTTGATGGGAAAAAGCAGCAATGGCAGAAAATTACATTTCTTTCCTGCATCTGACGATGAAGCGAGTATCAGATATCGCATTACAAATCAAGGGCATAAAGAAAAAAATTTGGAAGAGCAGAGATCATGATGTCTTTAACTGCAAAGAGGCGAACTTCATGAAGATACAAATTGTTTCTATCGGGATCCATCATGCTCCATATCATTTTCTTCATAATCGTAGGCAGCTCGTGCACCTTCTGCAACACATGATGATGAAACACGGATTGCAATGTCAGAAGGAAAAAAAAACATCTTACACCGATCATGAAAGCATAAGAAATCAACTTTCAATTGCATAACGACAACGTCCAATCTGTAATAGTTAAAAAAGGGGTACCTGGATAAGGCCGGTTAGACCTCCAACAAAGAGGCGGTTATACCTCCGGACCTTGGCGAGAACTTCCTTAACCTCTTGCTCCTGGCTCTGTTGCAAGGATGCTTCCGGCGTCAACTTGGTGATATGGCGTACGCACATAGGGCACTTGCAAGGCCTAGCTGCTGTCGAGTAGCTCCAGAACTGCAGGATGCAAGAGCCTGCCACAGGATTCAGCATGTAATGTTTGGACACATTAAGGATATGAAATGCCATTTTCCGTCGGAGTTAATCTGTTGTTCGTACTGTGACAATTGCTCGAATGGAAACCTAGTCGGATCAATGACAGAACCTTGTTTGTTCCTTTCGGACAAATATGAGTGCCATTATCTATCGGATCACCATGTTCAAACAATTACTACTATATACAAGGAGAAGCATCATGCCTGGGTTTTACAGATTTCTTGTTGACAGAATAACCAAAAGGCTGCTTCCTGGAATCCCAAGAACTGTAACTCTAAATCAAGTCTCCAAATTCCAAAATAAAACTTGGATAGAACAAGTAAAATTTTAAAATTGATCAGATAAATAGCTCTCCTGATTCCTACCGACACACCGAACAGTCACATTATACCTTAAACGTCATCTTTCATGGAACCAGACGAGATTTCAAAGGCTGAAATTCGCAATTAATCTCACCTATAGTCAATTTAATTCCATTTTTTCCCGGGAACCCAAAGGAGAGTAAAACATAGAGCTCCGAAGAATCACGGGTGCACACCATAGAAAAGCAAAACCAAACACTTACCGCAATACCAATGGCCACAATTCGCTCGACATGGAATCGTGAAGGAGCCGAAGCAGATCGGGCAGCAATCGTCGTCAGGCGGCGTCTCGTTCTCCCTTCTCCCGTCTCCTCTGTTCCCCGTCTCCATCTCCGATTTCGTCGCCATCACAACTCCGTCTCCGACCGCGGCAGCGCTCGGTGGAGGTTTCCGCCGGCTTCTCTCCTCCTCGTTCTTCACCGCAACGGTTTCCTCCACCGATACGGCGTCGTCTGATACCTCCATAAGCGTCGGTGCTCTTCGTGTGCTCAACCTAGAAGAAAGGTAGTTCAGAATCTCTCATCTTCCCCTCTTTGCCTCTTCTCTTTCCC